TCAGGTGCAAACTGGAATACAAACAGTTACAAACGTTCTACAAACATTTAGATACACACACGTGAAAACAATTCAGTGCTTGATACGGCGTTGTCCTCACCACTTATTGAATGTAAATGTTTGTATTTCTGAGGACTTGAAAGTATATGTTGAGACTTGTGATTATGGCAAGCAGTGTTTATCAAGCGAAGCACAACGGAATCAATTAGCATGCTTGACGAGAGGAATGATTTGCCCGGATCAAACGACTGGTAGAAGCAGCCTGATATCAAACATGGAGAAAGAGGACCAGCCATTTTATATTCTGAGGCTGAGCCTGGGGATATTTAAAAATATGGTCCAACCCGTTTCACTGACATTGTTATACATATTCCTCGCATTGTAGGAGTAAAAAATAATGTGCCCTTTTCTTGCAGACATGTGTCTAAAGAATGCAGTTATTTATTCAATTTAAAATAGTTAAGCACCTGCATATGTTGGGAAAAAAATAACAAGGCTCCAAAAAGAATGCTGTGTCAAACCAAAATCATCATCCTCCCCTAACCCCTCGAAAAGCAAATGAATGCTCCCTCACTTAAAACTTTAAATTGTTTGATGGGCATTACTTAGAAGTTGACAGATGACAAGGTAGACACAATTTTATGGATAACATCTTTAATACTGTAAAAAGCGATGTTTCGGTATAGATCCTTATTCAGTCTTTCTTGACAACAGTATAAGGATCTATACCGAAATGTACTACCTTGTCTACCTTCTCACTGAAAATGTTTTCTTGTTATGGGAATGTATCAGTGATGATAGTGATTCTACTTAGGGTATTGGGACACTTTCATTAGGATTTTATTAACTTTTTCCTACTCTGTTATTTACCATCCTTTAGTTTTATATCCTAGGAATGAACGAATCTGAATTACTGGATGTTTTATAACTTATTGTTTGTTTAAAATCTCTTGGTTTTAAGATGTCAGCTTCAAATAACTTGGTGAAATCAGATTCATCTGATACCATTTACTGAGCAGCCACAGATATTTCTGATACTGTTACCCTCACAACTAGTTGCAATTGCTAAGTCTGTCAGGAGTCAGTATTGATTGCATTAAGACTGAGTGACAGGTGGATTATTGACAAAAACAATCAGTAAATGATTGATATTTGTCATTTACAGAAATGATGTCCTCGGACATTCTGTGATAGGCAAACAATGTTATTGAAAGAAGACGTTATTGATAAGATTGAGCTTTTCCCGTCTGCAATTTGGTATATTATTAAAGCCAAATGTAAGTCTTTTGACATGTTTGATGTTGGTTGAACATGAAAATACAGATTAAAATTGCTTAAATATTGTCTAGTGGCATAAAACCCAACTCACTCTAAACTAGACTAACATTTAGTCCAAGAAAATAAGTTATCTCATTATAAGATATATATCCACAAAATAAAAAGTAAATTCTAAATTCTTTATACAGTGAGGCAGTCTAGACTTGCCAAATGATTCTAGGCATGAGTTGGGTTCAATCTTTAATACATTCTCTTGGGTCTAGAAGACAGACTAGATATCATTTGGTAAATTCTCATTGATTAAAATGTAATGAATATGTATATTTTCACGCAAAGAGATTTTGAATTAAAGTTTACAATAAATTTCCTGACATGTTTGGGTTTGAAATAAGCAAACTGTCAAAGAATCATTTCAAATGGTTTTTGGTTTTGGTTTTTTCTTTCTTTGTTTTTAACTTCAAAGACTTTAAAGCTCACTGTTCCGTTTTAAGGGTTGGGGTATGCTATGTATAACTTAGAACTGCACAATTAAGTGTTCACGGAGTAACAAGTAGATCTATTTTTTGTTTACTTATGTGCTTATGAATTTCAAATTCACCAGAAAAATAAGGTTTGTGTGACTTTGGAACTTTCGACTTTGGGGGTTCTTGGGGGTTCAAGTGCTAACACACACAGGACAACTAATGAATAAAAAATGTTCACCATAACCTTGCTGCCTTCCTTGTTTATAGCACCGGAATTCCCTGTGCAGAGAGGTTAAAGCATTTGCTTTTCATGTCGAAGACCTGGGTTTGATTCCCCACATGGGTACGATGTGAGAAGCCCATTTGTGTTCCCTGCCGTGATATTGCTGGAATATTGTTAAAAGCGGCATTAAACTATACTCACTCACTCCAACCACTTCCGCTGACATATCGTGATATAACTAAAATACTGTTCAAATGGTGGCAAACCAAACTTACTCCTTGTTGCAGAAACAGCTGATTGCCGCCCCTGGTGGCGGCTTGGCCTTCAGAGTGGGAATGGCTCACCAGCACCGATTTCATACAAAACATTTTTAGCCCTGTCTGGATTTCAAATGACCAATCTCAGTTCCGAAGTAAATCTCTATCCCTTGTTGTATAACCACTAATCACTTGTGATAGATTATAGGCAGATTAAGGATTACTTTAAATGGTAATTAGCTAATCTTTGAAAGGGACTTCAGCTTTACCTGTAATTACCCATTTACCTGTAATTAGAGAGCTGTAGACACAACTGAAGCAGATTGCTTACAGCTTAGGAATGTCTATTGTCCTTTATGCAAAGCTTGTTGTATGTTATCAATTAAATCTATGGCTTTGTTTAGAGTAAATCAGAGATTTTGATATGTCTGTGAAAGTGGATCTCTTAGTCCTATCCTCCATTTATGTAATAAAACTGTAATGTAATATGATTAAGGATGTTTTCATCTGAAGTATGAACTATCAATAAACATATGTTTACTTTGAATTTCAGTATAAGTGAATTAATATTTATTTATTTTAAATATTTTATTATAAAACTGACAATAAGATAACCAAATTATCAGCAAAATATATCCTATCTCTGTATTTCTGATTATGATATACACATTGTTATTTATTTGTATTTTTTATTTACAATTTTAAAGATGCATTTTTTTATCTACAAGGCATTGTTTGCTGCAATTTCAGTTTTATTTCTTAACATATACAGTTCATATTAAACTTGTCATACAGACCCAGAAAAAAATATATTCAATACAGCCCATGCATGTCTATATTAGTTGGCAAGTCTAGATTACTGCAGTTTTAAGAAATGAGCATCTTGGCTCCTTTTTAATATGTTTTATTAAAATAAATTAACAACTGTTGTTTTATCTGTAAAATATTTGCATTGAGAGGAGATGTTTGTCGAAGTTGAAATGATTAGTTGTGTTAATAACATAATGTAGTATTATGTATATCACACCTTCACTAGGGAATAATCAGATATTAGTACCTGAGACACATATTGCACCTCTCTTTAATGATATTACCAATATCACCTGGGGTGTAGTTAGCCTCCTGGGGATTACATTCACTGAGCCATGTATGTAACAGGTAGATCTAAGACTTCAACTGAGCAACAGGGGATTAGTATAATTCCTGCTACCTAGGTCTCGTTAGTGTTTCCATGGACGCAAGGTACAGGTGGGTTCGTTATCCTGTCAAAACATGTCCCAGGAGGAGTATATAGGTGTGTGGTTTAGGTTATGGCAGCATTCGATCACAGTCCTCAATCGGGTAAACATGGCAGCAGAGTACGATCCTCTAGTCTTGGCTGTGAGTAGATATACCACTTCCCTGGATACTTCTTACATTGAACAACAGCACTCTGTTGGAGTGACATGTTTATGTGCTAATTCATGGTGTTCTATAAGGGCTGTGTTTCACTTATGGATCTACCTGTGTTTTATGTACCATTCTGCTCTATTGGAGATTCTTGGTTTTTTAAAGTGGGATTTACCTATGTGCCAGTGACTTATTTGATTTAGATTTACCTTTGTTTAAACAAGATTTATTCTTCAGGCAGGGAGTTTGAGTGTTTTATGCAGTTATAATGGAAAAAAACACATTTTCGTTTTCACTTGAAAGACATGTTTGTCTGTTTTAAGTTTAAAATCTTTTTTTTTTGTCAAAGAAAATCTTTAAGAGGTATAATTTTTGTGTCAAAAAATATCTTTAGAAGTAAAAAAAAAATTCAAAGCGTATCTTAGAAGTATCCATTATTGACTGTTATTCTCTATTGTATTTTAAATATAAGAACTACATTTAAGGCCCTCGTATGTGTTGATATATTGGAAAAGTGGCAGTTTTAATAGCATTACTCGCCTTATTCCATAATGAATCATACTTAATCATTGCAGATCGCGATACATTTCTATTCACAGAATTTTTATTTTTTTTAATTATACCCTGGGAGACTGAAATGTTTCGCAGACTGTCTCCACGTTTGTAGATATGATATCTGCCACAACTACCTTCAATGTATGCGTGGCAGGAACTGCATGTTAAATGACTGGGACTGTCATTAGGTTGAGTGCAATTTGAGATAAGGCTGACAAATGGCAAAGTTGTCAACATTTATGGTGTAGGTACCTTGTGTATAATGACATGGGTTTTGACCTCTTGCAGGCTGTCTTTGAACAAATCTCTACAGTATGACTAGTTCTGTCTTGCCTTCATCAAACTGATTTGAGTTTTCTGTAGTCAAGGGAAAGGGTTTATAATTGTGTTGAGTTGAAAATTGATAATTTCATTTTTTAGTATCAACATTGAATAAGGGGAATATTATGTTCAATTCATTATTGCACTAATTTGCATAACTTAAAATGTGAAAATACAAAGTGTAAAAAAATTGTCTTTCCTATTTTGTAATATGTTTATTTTCTGAGAAATTTACATGACTTTAGAAAAATTAGAAGACGACAAGTTACCATGGGTTATTAAAGTAGTCTTTTGAGTATAGAAATCGGTTATTGTCTATAGAATGTGAATGAGTGGTAGTGAAAAAATGGACTTTAGTCTCTAACCAACTCATACCTCTTTTGCCATCTATGTTTTTCAACAACAAAAATGCCAACCAAAATCATAAGTGAAGGTGGTATTTGGTATTTGTACTTAGTGGTCTGCAAGCCACAGAAGACAGGAAGTGTGACAGAGTTACTGTTCTTGTTTCAGCTGGAGCAGTCCCTGAAGGGAGATGGCCCCGATGATGAATCCCCTTCCAAGGGGCTGGTGCAACAGAACATCGACCTGCGTCGGAAGCTGGAGGAAGAACACGGCAACTATAAGAGGAAACTCCAGGCGTACCAAGATGGCCAACAGCGCCAAGCTCAACTCGTGCAGAAACTACAAGCGAAGGTATTTACATATCAAACTGGGAGCAATAGGTTTGGGTGTCTTGGGAATTAAGGTCAATAGTTGATAATTGGTATCTCGAGTGAAGACATTTACAAACCATCTGGGGAAGAATTTGAGTATGGTATGGTCGGGTGTCTTGGGAAGTATTGGTCATTTTGAGGTTAAATAGTGGTGACTCTAATTATGCCAAGATGGTGTCAGTTCATAGCAAGGCACAAGCATTGATGAAGTTCAACTATGGGGTAAATAGTCACAAAATGAAGGCAAACACTGCAGCAGTCATGGCACTGTAATAGATACTTGGGAGTTCATGGTTCTGTAAGCATGGGGTGAAAAGACCAGTGCACATTTATGATGGCTCTCCGGTGAACAATTGACTTGCCCTTGCATGTGTTTGTGATGGGCATCACCGATAGGGCAGGATTTGCTCACCTTTTTACAAACACCTGGTTTCATCACTATTTGATAGTTATTCACAGACACATGCTCATAACATGTAGTCAGAGTCAGATAGTGAACTCAGTAGTGGAGATTTCTTATAATTATGAAAATGGTTTTTGTGACCTTTATTGAACAGCTAACCTCTCAACAGGATGAGGAAGGGCTGGTATTAAGATAAGTCTTATGGGAAACACTTTCAGAATCAGGAGATTTGCAGTATGGGGTCAAAGCAATGGGTTAGATGTGATAGTTTCCTGCAACTTATTTTCCTTTGTAAGAAGAAAGATACTTAATGAAGAAGTTGCATTACAGCTTCTTCAATACAAGAAGAAATGTCAAGAACTGGAGGATTCAGTTCGAGGAAGCCAATATGATTTTCAAAGAACGTCCATTAAGGTAATTATCAAATGAAATCATGGTAATAATTCTGCCCTTTACAACACAGGTCATTCAGTACAAGAAAAAGTGTGAGGACTCAGACCTGCAATACCAAGAGCTAAAGGCTCATTATGATAACGTATCAGCGGTAAGCTTGTGTCTGTGTGCTGTGATAGTGCTAGCCCAACAACTGGTTATGTTGAAGACAACCTTCTATAGTCTTCACCTGACATCTCTCATTTGTTCATCTTGGCACCTGTGTGAAGTTTCTTGCAAAGTCTTGCATGTCATTTCTACTTTCAGGAAAGACTTTGAATACACACTTTGTTTTAACTGTGCACACTATTTGATCAAAGTATGTCTTATCACAAGTGACAATTTCAGGCAGTCCCACTAATATTTGTTCTTTTACATGCACTACCCCCAAAAGTACTTAAGTTTTAGCTGCACAAAAAATCAAACTCACTCAAAAATGAAATTAAGTGCTTTTATGCTTGCTTCGATCTATCCAACTCTTTACCTTGGTTGGTTGGTTTGTTGTTTAACGCCGCACTCAGCAATATTCCAGCTATATGACGGCGGTCTGTAAATAATCGAGTCTGGACCAGACAATCCAGTGATTGATATCATGAGCATCAATCCACGCATTTGGGATCGATGACATGCATCAACCAAGTCAGTGAGCCTGACCACCCGATCCCATTAGTCGCCTTTTACGACAAGCATAGTCACCTTTTATGACAAGCATGGGTTGCTGAAGACCTATTCTACCCCGGAATCTTCTCGGGTCTTACCTTTGGAATTTGGTCAAAGAGATAGCTGATGAAACCAAACTTAAAATCTTCACCTTCAGCTCTCACAGATAGGTCCTTTAATTAGAAGCAGATATTTAGATAAAAGTAAATACTTTCATGAGAAAGAACTGGTGCAGGATAACAATGCATTGACCAACTACATTACCCTCTTCAGATTAGCAGATGAATTAGGCATCGCCCAGAAGTATATCCACATTAATCAGTTTATCAATCCATTGCACATCCACTCATCCATCCCTCCGTCCATCCACTCATCCATTTGTCCATCCATCCATCCATAAATCTACTTGTCCATCCATCCATCCCTCTGTCCATCCACTCATCCATTTGTCCATCCATCCATCCATCCATAAATCTACTTGTCCATCCATCCATCTGTCCATCCACTCATCCATTTGTCCATCCATCCATCCATCCATAAATCTACTTGTCCATCCGTCCATCTGTCCATCCACTCATCCATTTGTCCATCCATCCATCCATAAATCTACTTGTCCATCCATCCATCGATCTGTCCATCCGTCCATCTACTCATCCATTTGTCCATCCATCCATCCATAAATCTACTTGTCCATCCATCCATCGATCTGTCCATCCGTCCATCTGTCCATCCACTCATCCATTTGTCCATCCATCCATCCATAAATCTACTTGTCCATCCATCCATCGATCTGTCCATCCACTCATCCATTTGTCCATCCATCCATCCATAAATCTACTTGTCCATCCATCCTAGATCTGTCCATCCGTCCATCTGTCCAACCATCCATCCACACATTATCCCAATGATGTTCCAACCCACACAGTTCCTCAAGTCCATCTGTACCAATGATGTGCGGGGATTTGTTGAGAACCATAATTTCGTTTAAGATATGATGGTGTAATGACCAAAGACATTTTGTCTTCTTACTCATAGTTCCCCATGCCATATTTATTCCATACCATCCATGAACCCTAAGGAATAGTTTAATCTGCTCTGCCAGACCGTGCTCTGATGTAGCTGACATTCTTTCCAGAAATAACCTCATCCCACTCACTCACTGTTCCCAGAGTATAAACTGCAAAGTTGCAGAAATTCCATGTTTTTTTACCAGTTTAAGGGTTTCATAGCCTTGTCTCTTTTATTCTGCTTTTTTCCGAGTTTTAAATGCAGAATGTCCGAAAGCTGACATTTTCAATGTAGACAGAACCTTCAATCACATTTTGCCCATCCATCATCCGTCTTATTTCATCCTAAGTCTTCCATGTATCCATCTTGTTCACAATTCATCCTTGAGGTAGTTGATCTGTTTGTGTTGTCCCTGACCTTGGTTTGACCCTGACCTGTCTGCTATCAGCTTTCGACCCTGGACAGCGCGGAGACAAGACTGAAGTATTCAGAGGCGGATCATGTCATGGATCTGGAAACAGCCCTCATCAAGTTGGAGGAAGAGCAGCAGAGGTCAGTAGCTGCAGCGGTGGTGGTAGAAGTGGCAGAAGCAGTAGTAGTTGTGGTAGAAGTCACTGCAGTAGCAGAAACAGTTGAAGAAGTAGTCGACTCGTAGCTTCGTGACTTGTAATTGTTGTGATGATAGTAACAGTCTTAGTAGTAGCCCTCATCAGTAACAAATACACAATGACAAAAAACATTATTTGTTAAATGAATTTGCTCTAAAATCTAAAATTGTTATGCTCTTTGCATAAATGTCTCACACGTCATCGGTGAAAAATATTTATTCAGGACTTTGCATCTGGAATTGCTTTTAACAATATTCCCCATCCCCTGTATTCATGTGATGTACTGTCTGCTCTGCAGGAGCTCCAGTTTGGCCCACGTGAATGGTATGCTCCGAGAACAGCTCGACCAAGCTACCTCGGCCAATCATCAGCTTACGTCGGACATCCACAAACTCACCACCGACTGGCAGCGGGCTCGGGAAGAACTGGAGGTGAAGGAAACAGAGTGGAGGGAGGAAGAACATGTGAGTTACCATGGCAACAACAACAACAATAATAATAATATCAGGGATTCAAACTCCATTAACTCCATGTAACATGATGATGTAAATTTGTGTACCCTTCTCAATCCACATTGGCACTCTGGCTTAAATTGATGCTGGTTCTGATGCTGGCACTGTGATCTGATATCTGCACAATGATCTAATATCGGCACTATGGTCTATGATCTGATGCTGGCACTATGATTCTGATATCTGCACAATGGTCTAATATCGGCACTATGGTCTATGATCTGATGCTGGCACTATGATCTGATATCTGCACAATGGTCTGATATTGGCACTATGGTCTATGATCTGATGCTGAACTTTAATATTATCATGAACATCATTTCAACCTTTGTACTTTCCAGACCTTCAACGAGTACTTCAGTGCTGAGCACAGCCGACTTCTGTCACTGTGGCGTGCTGTTGTAGCTTTCCGGCGCCAGTTCAGCGAGATGAAGACTGCAACAGAAAGAGACCTGGCTCATGTGCGCACAGACGTTACCAAGGCAGCTCGCAGCATGCATTCAGCCTGCCTAAACCTCGGTGCCAACATGCGCAGTTCTGACACACAAACTCAGGTAGGTCGGGAACTCACATCATGGCCAGTGAAATACTTCCAGCAGTGACAGAAATTGGATCTCAATGTGCTTATTGTTAAAATAGACAGACACAGGTTCTTCATATACACTTGGATTCATCAGCCAACACAATACACCTCCTGCACTCACACTTGTTGTCACTCAACTGCCAACCTAAAGCAAACCAAGATGGCTGCCGTAAAGTCATTCCCAAATCATAGGGACAGTTTCGTATTCAAGGTGAAGTTTAGTATCCAAATGTTAACATTTAAGCAAGTTATCTTTGATACTTGTTAAAAAAAAGTTTTAATTACCCTTTTGTGTTTGTTGTGTGTAAACAAAAAACTAAGTCCTATTAGATTCATTTGTCATGATGGTGCCTGTTACATTAATCCACCCTGCTAATTTGACATCATCCAGGTCTTGGTGGACAGAGAACGCAGTGAGAAGATGACCATCGAAAACCAGCTTCGTGAGGAAATCCGCAAGGTGACGGAGATCCAGACAAGGTTTGATACCCACAACTCCGACCTGTCTTCTCGAGTACAGGAACTGACCATGATGAACGAGCGTCTGAAGATCCAGCTGGATGAGAAGGACAAGACCGTCAACACACTGCAGAGGACCATCAACCAGCTGGAGGGCAACGTTAGCGAGGTCTACGAGAGGGAGGTACCCGAGACCGATACCGCTCGACAGATTCGTGAAGAAACCGAAGCGCTCCATTACGCACTCCGCAACATCGCCGAAGCTGTCATCAACGATGCTGACAGAACGGTAGAGGACAACATAGATGGGGTCACTTTACCCGAACCATTAGTCCGATCTTCATCACCACTCAGGGCAAGGTCGATCTCTCCAAGGTCAAGGTCACCTGGCATGAAGAGTCGATCCCCAACTCGTTCACCTTCCCCACGAGGGCGATCCCGCTCTCCCGCTTTCGCTGACGCCACCTTCTCAGCCGTCCAGGCTGCTCTCAACAAACGGCAACTCCAGGTATCGGATCTCCGCGCCAAGCTGGGAGCCAGCCGGGATCACACCACGACACTGAGGAAGTCCCTGGATGATGGGCAGAATGAGAAGAGGCGTCTTGAACTGCAGATCCTCAACCTCAAGGAAGACCTCGATAACGCGTGAGTAACTCACCCAGTGATCCATGCAACCGTTCAGGAAAATTATATTCGACCAGATTATGACGATCGCTTAAAGTGTGTCCACTTTAGAACATAATAAGTACGCCGCTTTTAGCAATATTCCAGCAATATCACGGCGGGGAACACCAGAAATGGGCTTCACACATTGTACCCATGTCGGGATTCGAACCCGTGTCTTCGGCGTGACGAGTGAACGCTTTAACCACTAGGCTACCCGACCGCCCCAGAACATAATAAGATCTACTACAATATTCTATACAAGGACATGGTCATAAGGTCATGTCTTGTTTTGCTGTTAGGAATTAACCTAAATTCAGTTAAAAGCTTTTAATACTTTGAAATTCTTACCACATTTTTAATTTCTTTTCCTTTTTTTATTTGCCTCCTTCCTCTTAGCATATTGGGCAAGAAAATTGTAAAATATAAAGATATGAAGTTTTTGCTTTTCATTGACCGTCACTTCTTCCATCACTCTTACAGTCACAGAGATAAGGAAGACTCCTTCCGGGACCGAGACCGCATCAAGAACGCACTGAACGTGACAGGAAGTGAGAAGTCACAGCTAGAGAAGGTGCGACAGGATCTCAACGAGAACATCGAGGGACTTCATCGAGAGATGGAGAAACTGCAGGCCGCTAACTCTGACCTCCAGAGACAGCGGGACAACCTTGAGGACGACAAAGAGGACATCCTCAAGGACAGAGAGAGGGGACAGAAGGAGAACGAGAGATGGTGAGGATGAGTATTTGTCATCTGAAAATCACCCTCCCTCCCTCCCTCCCTGTTCAAAAGCCACAGCAGCATTAATTCACTATTAAAATCTGAAAAAAATAGGCAGTTATATGACACATATTGTCTCTTTAGAAATAAGGCTTCTGGATAGGAAAGAAAAAAAAAATTAGATAACGTCTTTACTGCTGTTATCTCATATAGTCCACATTTATTCAGAGAAAATTGGGAGTTTGAATCCCAGACCTTTCATCATTATGACCTTGGTTTGCTGGCTCCAGATCCATGCTTGTTGGTTTCATGCAAGTCATTAGTGTGAATGTCACAGACAAAGCTGACAAGCCATGAAATAACTGAAATACTGTTAAAGTGGCAATTAACTCACTATCAGAAGATGAAATTATATATTCTACAAGGATAGCATAAGCCCTTATAGCATAGGCTCTTTTTGGAAGCATAAATTCAGATTAACACTTTATGCCATCTAACTTACTATCAAACCTTCAGCGCCTGTATGATTTAAAGACCAGGACCTCATTCCACAAAACGATCTTAGACTTAAGATCTTAGATTTAAGACTACTGTGAGCCTATGTTAAAGTATGGGAGTTACGATCATCTTAGCGCTAAGATGTTGTTATGCAAGTGGGTCCTGGGCCTCATTCCACAAAGTGATCTCAGCACAAAGCAAACTCCCATACTTTAACACTGACTTATGACAGTCGTGCTAAGATCGCCTGTATTCCACGGGGACTCCTACAGCCTTGCATGTGTGTCAATATTTGATGAGATGGGCCAATCAGCATCGTGCTAGTCTGACAACAGATCCACGCCTACTTTGTCAACTATTACGCTTCTTTATCATAAAAAATTAATTGTGTTTTGTGCAAAACTTCAGGATCAATAATAGAATAATTGCTTTGATATGAGGGTATAAATTGTTTACTACATGGGAGGTCACACAGTTTGTATACATTGTAATAAAAGTAGCTCCCTTACAGTGAAATAACAATGGAATAACAGTCATGCAACAATGTTTAAACTTACAGCTTCATTGTTGAGATGTTCCAGGGATTACAACATTGTAAATATATGCATGCACTGATTGATGATGACAGCTTATTATTCACAAGTCAGCAGAAAACAGAAAGAAGATACACACAAGGGGCTAGGGAATAAGAGTTATGACATTTGATTACCCTGATACTTGATGATGGTGATGTCATGAAAACACAGATGGAAGTTACGTGAAGGAAAGCATATCCCAAACTGATACTCATACTTTTGTCATGGCAAATGTTACAAAATAATTCAACTGCACACATAGTTATGATAAATGAAATGACTGAAATTATTTTGTTTCGTTGTTTCAGCCAAAAGATGATCTCCCAGTCTGAGACGAGGCTGTCAACTCAGCGAGAAGAGCTCGTGGCCACCAAGGAGGCGTTGAACCGAGCCCTCCTCGACAAAGAAGTCCTTGAAGGACAAAGGAATGAAGTTGGTACGTACACTGTCTCAGTACATAAATGTTTGTCTCTCAACATTTTAGGTGCAGGGATGAACTTTTAGACTTTCCAAACATATTAAACAACATTCTGTGATAACTTATGCAGTAATTTTAGGATGGTGTGTAGAAAAGAAATCACTTGTGATACATACACCATATTTAGCAATAATTCATTCTTGTATGGGAGACAAAAATGATAATAAGATATTGCGGGGGTTTTATGAACATTCTAAGAATCAGATCTCTGTAAATAGCTATTGACCAACATTTTGTGTAATTTCCTGATGTTAAAAAAGATGAATATTCTTTCGCAGGTGATGCGCTGTCTAGAGCTGAGCTTCAGAAGGCAGAGATTGAAGTTGAGATCAACAAGCTGAAGACGGAGGAGGCAGCTCTCCGTGATGCTCTTCTCAAGATGCAGGCTCTCAATGAGGGACTTGGCCAGGACAAGATCGAGCTCAACAAGATCATCATTCAGGTAAATACAAACCCACTTTCTCAATCATTCAGGTAAATACAAACCCACCTTCTCACTCATACAAGTAAATACAAACCCACTTTCTCACTCATGCAAGTAACTACAAACCCTATTTCTCACTCATACAAGTAAATACAAACCCACTTTCTCTCTCATGCAAGTAACTACAAACCCTATTTCTCACTCATACAAGTAAATACAAACCCTATTTCTCACTCATACAAGTAAATACAAACCCACTTTCTCTCTCATGCAAGTAAATACAAAACCACTTTCTCACTCATACAAGTAAATACAAACCCACTTTCTCTCTCATGCAAGTAAATACAAACCCTATTTCTCACTCATGCAAGTAAGTACAAACCCACTTTCTCACTCATACAAGTAAATACAAACCCACTTTCTCACTCATACAAGTAAATACAAACCCACTTTCTCACTTATACAAGTAACTACAGTTCAAATCCAATTCGCTTACTCACTCACTTGCCTGTAGAGATCAAGGTTAGAATTGGTCTTCAGCAACCCATGCTCATCTTGAGAGGTGAGAATGCTTGTCCTAAGAGGCGACTGACGGGATTGGGTGGCCAGGCTTCCTGACATGGTTGATGCATGTCATCGTATCCCAATTACATAGATCGATGCTCATATCAGTCTCCAGATTTTCTGGTCCAGACTAGATTATTTACAGACCACCATCTTATAGCAGGAATATAGCAGTGAGGCCTTACACAACAAACAAACAAATACTCATTCATAGAGGTAACAGAGGAAAAAAAAAAGAACTTGATTGCATCTCTATGACTTTAAAGAATTAATAAGACTATAACTACTCTTGTAGATGGAAGCTGAGAAGTCTAATCTGGCCAGTGATAAGTCCGCCTTGGAGCAGGATAAGGCTGGTATCCGCGAGGAACTGGTCCGAGTTGAGCAGGAGAAGATGGATCTCGAAACCGAGAAAATCGGTAAGTTATATCTGGAAAATTAGCTTCATTTTTAAAAATTATTTTTGACTTTAAAATGATTTTCAATAATTTGTCCTCAAAGAAGTAACCGGCTTGGAGTGTCTTTAATGTGATTGTTTTGGAAAGAAGATCTGTAGCTCTTGATATTAACAATTGGGTATTGTTGACCATCAGGTCTGAACCAGACACTGGAACTTTCGGAGTTGACTCGTCAACAGCTGGAGGAAGAGATCCGTGCCTTGAATGGCGAGAAGGCCAATGTGCAAGCTGAGTTGTCAATGGTGAGAAGCAAATATCATAAACTCAAATATCTATCGCAATATCTGCATTGATTCCGATAAACATTAATACATGCTTGATCTTAAAGAATATCTGGAAAACTACCTTGTACAAGCAATTTCTAAATTAACCAATACTGCAATTGTTACCCATCTTCTTTAAGACCTATATCCAAACAGATTTTTCTATACATCCTTGGGTTGATGGGGTAGCAGTGTTACAGTATTCCCTGGTTACACCTAACACCAGTGTTTGATTCCCCACATGAGGACAATGTGTGTATCCCATATCTGGTGTCCCCTGCCCTGATATTGCTGGAGTATTGCTCACAGCGGCGTAAAAACCACACTCACTCACTCACTTATGCATCCTTGTTTTCTTTAAGGTTTCTCGTCAGAAGCAAGCTCTTACTGACGAACTGCTGACCGCGAGGAAGGAACTTGAGCGCAACCAGTCAGCGTATGACCGTATTGTTAAGGAGAAGGAGATCTTGATGACTGACAAGGGCGAGCTTGTGGTGCAGGTGACTGCGACCGAGCGAGAGAACCGCATGCAGAGCGAGAGTGTGGCCTCCCTCGCCTCCGAGAAGGACCAGCTTGAGGCGGCACTGTACGAGGCACAGCAGAGCGTGCAGATGTTGGAGGTCAGGAAGTCGCAGCTGGAGGGCGAAAACCAGGAACTCATCGTCCGCAAGGAGAACCTGCAAGGTCAGGGTCACTACACATGTGCAGATAACATACGAAAGAAACTAGGATGGCTTTGAAGTGTCACAGTTAAATTATGACACTTTGTTTCTAGTTATAAACTGTTTAATTATTTGTATTTGAAAATGTAACATTTCTGGAAGTACAAAGTTCACGTTCATTTTGTGTATTAAAGAGCAACAATCTTTTCTCTAAAATTCCCCCATTGTTTCTAGGTTTACAAAGTTTCCCATCATTTTGAATCAGAACGTGAAACAGTGCTCTGGTATAACAAAAGTTCCTAGTGTTCAGTGTCACAAAATTCCCCTCTGTTCTTTGTGTCACAAAGTTGTCCATTGTGCCAGTGTGTCAGTGACTCGGTTATATCTAAAAGTTGCTCACTGGATACAAAGGTCAAACAATGTGTGTTTGGTGAAGGTTGAACAATGTGTGTTTGGTGAAGGTTGAACAATGTGTGTTTCGTGAAGGTTGAACAATGTGTGTTTCATGAAGGTTGAACAATGTGTGTTTCGTGAAGGTTGAACAATGTGTGTTCGTGTTGCAGCTGAGATCCAGCGTCTGGTCAAGGAGAAGGAGGCAGACATTGATCGGGCTGAGCACCACCGCGAGGGTCTCACCTCACGCATGCAGCAGATGGAGCGTGACCTGCAGATGGCGCTCACACAGGAGAAGCAGTCACATGAGGAAGATGTAGAGAGACTCAGTCGAGAAAGGGTGAGTGCTAGCTTTATCCCCAATCGTATCACTTCATTGTAAGAATTGACCTCAGTAAAGTTTGTGTTTATGGAGGTATGAACCTAAAAAACAGTGTTCATATGCAAGTCAATTTTTACAAATAAGTATGTCATTATAACTTCACAGGCAGCTTATTAAATCATTAACATAAAAAAACTGTAGACAACAATACAAAATCAGTGACATTATTCAACGCAATAATGCCACACAAGCCTACCCTATTATCAGACAATCAGGAAACATTAATTTGATACTGCTTAAAAATTGGTTCATGGCTGGGTTAGCCAATCAAATGCTTCAGAATCACTTGCATTATTTTTATATACCTATCAACAATTTAGGAGAAATGTCATTTTTGGATTAAAATTTGATGAATCGATATTAATAATGATGAAATCGGTACATTTCAGGATTCGCAGCGCATGCAGTTTGACAACGAGCGAGAGCAGCTCCTCCACCATCACAACCTGGAGAAGGAAGACATGAGTTCCCGCTTTGACAACGAGCGCGAGGAACTCCATGAGAATCTGGCCTCCCTACAGCGTGACCGTGACGACGCTCTCCTCATGGCCGAGAACGACAAGCAGCAGGTAGGTTGGGGTCCCGAGATGTTTCTGATGTACCACTGTGCAGAGTTGTGTCCCTTCTCTGCCAGGATTTGCTGATATGGGGTTTCAGATCTTAAATTGTCATCCAGATTATGATCCTTGTCTGTAGGTTGTGATGGTGGGTTGGGGTCCTCAGATGTTTCTGATGAACCACTGTGCAGAGTTGTGTCCCTTCTCTGCCAGGATTTGCTGATTGGGGGTTTCAGATCTTAAATTGTCATCCAGATTATGATCCTTGTCTGTAGGTTGTGATGGTGGGTTTCATGAAATTTGTGTCATACAGACTCCGCCAACAAGTAGCTGTCAATCATTTCTGAAAAAATATTAAGACTGATGTCTAATTACCAATCACTTGATCACTTGTTTGTAGGTTTCTTAAAATCTTCATTGGATCGCTGCGGCAAATTCAAGCAATTAATGTCAGACTTGGAAAATAATCATTTTAGTTTTAATATTTCAAACATTTAATCTTGTTTATCGTTAAATGAAAATAACAATTGAACTTTCCGCTTCAGGCAATGTCCATCTTGGAGCAGGAGAAGAGTACACTGCAGGAACGGTACTCGCAGCTGCAGGTCGACCTGAACAGCCTCAACACCGAGTACGAGCGACTGAAGCGCGAGTACCAGACCCGCCTTGAGACGGACCGAAGCAGCATCAACAGCCTCCAGTCTCAGCTCAAGAACTTCCAGCAACAGTTTGAGGAGACCACGTACGTTACCCACAGTTTCGAACTTGTTAGCTTGGACATTAGAGCATTGTACAAACCAACAAATAGTTTCACTTTGTGACCTATACATCCTCCAGTGGTCTAGAACTTTGAAGATACGGGCTTAGAATAGGTCTTCAGCAACCCATGCTTGCCGTTAATGGCGACTATGAATGTCGTAAGAGGCGACTAAAGGGATAGGGTGGTCAGGCTCGCTGACTTGGTTAGTGCATGTCCTCGTATCTCAGTTGTGTTGATTGATGCTCATGATGTCAATCACTGGATTGTCTGGTCCAGATGCAATTATTTACAGAACGCCGTCACATAGCTGGAATATTGCTGAGTACAGCGTTAAACAACAAACAAACAAATCAATGGTTAATGGTGTCGAAACACATAGTTGTCTCCCTTACATGTGACAGGATAATTGGTCATCGTTTGACTCCCAGATCTGGTAGATAATGATGTTGGGGATTTCTGTGCCAACCTGTGAACCTCGTCACACTGTTTAAATCAATGTCCAACCTCTCGTCAAAATTAATTTTCAATTTTAAATACATCTGACACACCTTACGATTGTAAAACAATTTGTTCACCACACAGGATATTTATTGTTGGGTGTTTTTTTCATCTACAGCGAGGGACATGAGCGAGAGGTGAAGGATCTCACTCTGCAGATCCGTGAGATCGGCCGTCAGCGCGAAGGTGCCCTCCGTGAGGTGGCGGAACTCAAGGTGCAACTCAAGCTGGTTGAGGAGACGCGAGACTCCATCAGACGAGACCTCATCGATGCTAACAGGAAGATTAGAGAAGGTGATTCATCTTTGTGTAGATGCTTAATGCCAAGGAAACATTGTTCAAGCCGTGTTTGTTTGTTCAACACCGCTCTAAGCAATATTCCAGCTATATGACGGTGGTCTGTAAATAATCGAGTCTGGACCAGACAATCCAGTAATTGACATCAATCCGCGTAACTGGGATACGATGACATGCATCAACCAAGTCAGCGAGCCTGACCACCCGATCCTGTTAGTTGCCTCTTACGACAAGCATAGTCGCCTTTTAGGTTCAAGCAGTGAACTTATATTCATGACAAAATAACAAACAGATGAGAAATTGTTTTCATATTTCCTGGAAAATGAGATCATTTCAATCATTCTTTTTTTTTCCAGCTGAGGAAATGAAGGATCAGCTCCGCAAGGATGTCCTTGACCTTAAGCGTGCTGTCAACGACGAGATCCACGAAAAGGATGCCATAGGGAAGGCAGCAGATGACCTCCGCAACAAGGTGAAGAAGGCCGAGGCCGACAAGACGGAGCTCAGTCGCGGCCTCCAAGAGGCCAAACAGAGGATTATCAGTAAGTGAAATTGTGTTCTTTTGCATCGCATCATGATGAGGTTTATGAGTAAGGATAAGATTTTTGGATGAACAACTTCTTTATTTCAATTAGGAGCAACGTTTCGGTGTAGGTTCTAACACCGTCATCAAGCAAGTGATGTACAGAGTATGTATGAGTTTAATTGTAATAAAGAAGTTGTTCATCCATAAATCTTATCCTTACTTAGTACTCCAACTTCTAAATGCCGCTCAAAGAAGTTATGAGGTTTATAGCTCAGTAAAATGATTCATTCCAATATATAGTATTATTCTATTTGACTGCAATATTGCTAAAATTGGCAATTTTCGTTTACGTATATTGTCATGGAAACACTTCTCTCTTCAGTCATGGAGGATCAAAGGGTTGTCATTCAGAAAGAGTCTGGTGACCTCCGCATGAACCTGCGGGAGGTGGAGAAGGCTCGTCTTGAGGCTCGGCGTGAGCTGCAGGATCTGCGTCGACAGGTGAAGATGCTCGACGGCGAGCGCAGCAAGCTTGGCAAGGAGGTGTGTGACCTCCAGGTCAGGGTCGCTCGGGACGAAGACAAGGAGGAAGAGTCAAGGAAGGCTTCGTTCGACCTCAAACAGAAGGTTGTCGAGACCGAGGCTAGCCGCGAGGCTCTCCGTAAGGAACTGGCCAACATGCAGAGAAAGATGGGCGAACTCATTGATGAATCGCGTCTGAAGGAACGTGACTACCAGCTGTCATTCGAGGATAGCCGTAGGGGAGAACGCAAACTGATTGACCAATGCAAGAACTACGAGATCTCGCTTGATACTACCAATAATGAAATATCGGATCTCCGCCTCAAGCTGAGTGGCGCTGAAGGCAGGGTTAATGCCCTTGAAGCAACCCTTGCCAGGCTAGAGGGAGCTAAACGCGATGTGGAATTCAAACTGAGCAGCATCGTGTCAAGTCTACGACGTACTATCGGCTTCCGACAGGACATGCCCCGAGCACGTAGCCCTATCCGTTCTCGCAGCCCCAGTCCAAAGAGATCACGACCAACATCCCCATCCAAAGGTAAAAACTGCCACTTAGATATTCAACAGATGCATAGAGTAAAATGTCAAGTCAGCAGTAGTAACTCACAAAATAATCCATCTAACTCCTTAACTGTAGGAAATATAGAAACCATTTATTTTATGATATATGTTGGAACTGAATATTAGGAACAACATTAATCCAAATCACTTGCACAACTTCTCCTTACTGATGAATCTTCACAACATGTGCTTGCAAACCCATGTTATGTATCGCAACAATCTTCTTCAGGATTCGACAGTACGTATGCCACCACAACTGATGGGCGTGGCTCCCCCATCCCCCGCACAGGATCACCCACCCGGTCGGGCAGCCCCCTCAGGTCCACCAGCCCCCTCCGTAGCCGCAGCATGTCCCCAATGCGACGTGACTTCGCCGCTCTTGATGTCGACCCCGAGGCTGTCCGTATGGCCCTCCGAGACTTCATGCAGCAGCTGGCTTCATCCGAGAGAGAACGAGTAAGTATTCACCATTCAAGGGGCGGTCGAGGAGCCTAGTGGTAAAAGCATTCCCTTGTCACGCCGAAGACCCGGGTTCGATTCCCATCATGGGTACAATGTGTGAAGCCCATTTCTGGTGTCCCCCACTGTGATATTGCTGGAATATTGCTAAAAGCGGCATAAAACCATACTCACTCACCCTACAACATGGCCTCTGACTGTCCTGTCCGTAGCGTGAAGACCCAGTGTTGATTCCCCATATGGGTACAGTGCTCATGCTAGTGTTCCCTGTCATGCTATGGTTGGAATATTGCCCAAAACCTGCTCAGTTCATGTTAACCATCCTAAATTGCCATGCTGTGGGTTTGTAACTGGTGTCTTCACACTGGTGACACATTTATGCCCACTGCTCAAGGTTCATGTCTGAGATTTTACTCCATGCAGGATAGTAAGGCCAAATACGTTTTTAGATTTTGTAAGACAAGAAAGAAAATGTGATGAGTAAAGATAGAATGTCGTCCTAGTGTCATGTGACTGATGGTGAAATCTGATTGGTTGCAGGACGACGCCATGGTGCAGGTGCGCAGCATGGCCACACAGGTCAAGGACACTGAAGAGGAGCGTGATCGCACGGAGATCCGCCTTCAGCAGCTGCAGAGGTCACTCGGGGAAGTTGAAGAAGGTCAGTGCTGTTTTCTGGTTGAATTGTATTTCACATTCATCGGGGGTGGTCGGGTAGCCAAGTGGTTCAAGTGTTCGCTCATCATGCCGAATACCAGGCTTCAATTCCCAACATAGCCATAATCCTGCTTTTTTCTGTCCTCGCAGTATAAAATCTTAGATCTTTAAACAGACCCTCTTCACTGTCAGCTACCCAATTAGTAGTTGCGCGGGAAATAGTATTAAAGGATCTTAATTTTAGTTCGCTTTTAGGAGAAGCCTTAAGGATGCAGTCATGATCAGAACAGGTTGTTGTAGTTGTTGAGGTTGTTGTAGTTGTTGTAGTTGCCGTAGTTGTAGTACATGTGGTGGTCAGTGGGGCAGCATCGTGGTTTAAGCATTTGCTTGTCACGCCAAAGACATGGGTTGGATTCCTCACATGCGGGAACCCATTTTTGCTGTACCCCGCAGTGATGTTGCTGGAATACTGCTCAAAGCAGTGTAAACCCAACACACTCACTCACCCACTGAAAATGTGGTTGCTGTAGTCAATGTGATGTTGGCATCAGAGGTATACTTTGGGACTGAGGCTGGTAAGAGTTGTCTCCCATTATTCTTCTGCCGTCTCAGTGTTAATGGCTGATGTCTTCCCGTGTCAGAACCACAGCATCTGTTAATGTTAAAGTATGGTTTACCCTGTATTTATATTTTGATAATCACATAAGTACACAATACATGTTTATTTATTGGTCACAAAATCATTTCTATGTTACAAAAGTCTGTTTACAATATAAAACAGGTCATTATAGATATTGCCTTATTCAAAGCCTCGCTGAAAATAGCAATGTTGAGCAACACTCACTTACTCTCTTATTCACACATTGAATTGTTTTTGAAAATTTCTGTTTTGATTAATTTCCACAGTTTCATATCTTTTGGACAAAATCGGTATTATTCTAAAATAAAGTTTTTAAAGCTTCATATCAACTTTAAGATTAGAGCATCGTTTACCGATGTTAAAACAAGATGTGTATTTCTCTTATCCGTACAGCAGTTGATTGCGCCTCTCTACCATCCTGTTTTGAGAGTAAGCTGCAATAAAACCTTCAATACCGATTTGTGGCAACTGTTCTCAAGGACTTGCATAGGATCATAAATAGTGATCGATGATAGCGAGTGCGACAAATCCTGTCATGAAATTGTGATCTGCGTGATAGGGTATTAGTGTTATCTTAGGGGGGGATACAGTATCTGCAGAAAGCATGCTTGAGTTGTTGGGTTTGATGAAACTCATTCTGACAAAGTCACCAGTACGCCCGACACCACACAACGCTTCAATTGGAACAACTTCGGACCAATAATGTGTTTTTTATTCTTGACATATTTCATTATTTCTAATTAAATTTTCATCAAATTTTCATTTAAAATTGATAAAAACTTGTTCCATGAAATTCTCATCTCAAATAGGATGAAATAATTGAAATGGTAACATGGGCAGGTTTGACGTAGTGAATATAAAACCATTTATATCATAGGTCTTATGTTTTTCAAAGGTAGTCCTGTAAAGTCAGTTAATATAAACTGTATGTTATTTCTCATGATGTGCCAATATAATGCACTCCTTCACATGGTTCTCTTTGATGTTAGCATTTTGCTGACTTGACAAGTATCATTGACTAGTACGTTATTACACGCAGGCTTCGGGTCATTTGATCCCTGTAAGATAGGGTCGTGAGGCGTGCAAAAACTAATCAAATGGATCTGAATTTGACACTTATGGTAACGATTCCATTACAACCTGACAGACAGCAACACAAGGACATTTTATGATTTATTGGAGTTATTACCTGACCAGGAATACCACTTCAGTGGCAAGATTAGGAAAGTAGTACAAGGACATATTACAATTTATTGGAGTTATTAACTGACCAGGAATACCACTTCAGTGACAACATTAGGAAAGCAGTATATTATATCATCCACGTTGAACCCACATGATGAAAGACATACAGGTTGTCAAAAGCTTTATGTCTGAATTCTGTACTCAACACAATGGGCATTGAATAAGTTTGGATGAATCTACACAGGCTAGGTGCTCCTGTATTAGTTGTATTTGCTAGGAATGCCAACAGCTCCTTATGTCAACACTTCACTTTTCTGTTTTCCCGGTTACCTGCCTGAAGGTCAGTGCAGGCTTATTACAATCAATATTTATCTGAGACGACTCCCCCCTTGATCCAGACTGGTGTGGACATGTTTGAAAGGGTATAACGCCTCATTGTGACTGAGATATGCTGTGACTTATTGGCCCTCTTAGGTTTGCTACCAACGCCAACTCAGGAATTTATTCCCACTGAAAGATCACTGGAGATCTGTGGAAATAATTTACAGTTGTGACTAGTTGTAGGTAACACCTCTGAAGCGGCCATTTTGTGACACTTAGAAACAGGAGGCTGTGATTTTGTGAATATGGTGTGAGGGTATTTAAATGCAGGTGTTTTACCCTGCATATTTTGGCAGCAATGAATCAGGATTCTGTGCAATAATGGGACGTTGAATACGAATGTTGCAATACTAGCCTTTCACTGCCTCACCACTGTAAGGAGCTTTGTGACTATGTATCGCATATACCAACTACCGTCCTATTACCTAACACTGCCGGGATTTCTACCCACATCTCAAAAGCAGTCACAACACTCGGACTGTCTTTCTAAAGGATCGTCCTTGTCTGTTTTATCAGAACTTCCCTGTCACGATGGTTAGTACACTCGTTATTTGATTTTTGACAGTTCTGTTTTGCAAAATCATTGCCATTTATATTTTATATGACCTGGCATTAATATGTTCTGATATCAATTATGCATGCTTCATGTTTCCATAGTTACATTACTGTCTCTGTTTATTTTAGTTTTTTAACTTTGAACATGAAAAAATAATTGTGAAGGATTTTTCATACATTTTGTAAGTTCCATATTATATTTATCTGTAAGTCAATATTTCATTCCCTTGAGATTAGAACCACTTCAAATTATAAAATATTGTTATAACTCATGTGTTTGAGCAAATGAAACATTAATTAATTCACTGTGGATTAAAAAGGGAAATATATCTAGTGTACATGCTTTCCCGGTCTCTTGTCTTTCCACATTTTATGATATTTTTGTATTAGTATTGTTATTAGTATAAAGCAATATTTTAATTTATGCATGGAAATATCTAATCATGAACAGGAGCTTTATCTTTGTTGTTAAATATTCAACTTTTCTAAGTTCATGTTTAATGCAAAGAGCAATTACAATAGAAACAAGAAAGTGTATTGTATTTTCACCTGTGTTCACCTGGTTTACATAACGAGTGATTCAGGTGAGAGGTCGTTAAGGAAGGCCTTGTATTGTTATGAGTGTATCACATTGTGTCTCTGCATAATAACAGGCCTGGATTATTGTCTCAGGTGCGACATTCCCAGGATGCCATTGTCCTGTAATCAATACCTACCTGTTTCACTCCTTACAACCAGAATGAATAAATGATTGACTTGTGTATTAAGTTACTGCTACATACTCCGGGTGGGCGTTCCTGGTAGAAAATTAGTTCTTAGCATCGTTAAGGTTGTAGGTGAAAGGCATATGTTGTGGATAAATCGCAAAGCAATAGGTTCCCATAAAGATTTCATTACTTTCGTGATCCTTTTCAGCTAAAAAATAACATTTTATAAACATATCTGTATGATACATGTATCTATCTCCATATATAAATTATAATAGATTCTCATTAAAATTTAATCACTGTCGTGATCATTTTCTGTGGTGCAAAAAATGTTTTATTATATCTATATAATATACATTTCCATATAAAGCTGTCTGTTCAAGTTTGCTTAGCTATCAACGACAAAAATTAGCATATAATACAATTAATTCCTGATCTGAATGTCTGCCAATATATTATAGTAAATATATTTAAGGCATTGTGAGAGTTTGTTGATAGGTGAAAGGCTATAAATTGGAATTGTAAGGTTGATTAAGCATGTATTTATTCATAGCTACTTTCCAGAGAATGTTATTATCCTGCTAGTGAAAGAGGTTTTGAATGGTCTCTGCTTATATCATAATAAATCTACAGGGAATGGTTAACTCAAACATAAGCACACAGAAAGGCTGGGGGCAGCATAAGTATGTATATTACCCTTCTCCTCTGTTAAGCGTTATGGCACAATATTGTCCGGTCAAAGGGTCGGGCGTGATTAGCATAAGGACGGGTTAACATTGTACTGGTTGAATGGGTAATGGTGTGATCTTTGTAGGGTTCATTTTGTTGATGTTGTCAGGAGTCCTGTGGCTCCAATGCAATTAATTGTGTCGGCTTGTCACGGACATAATAACCCTTTGACCAGTCTAAGGTTTTGAATAATCAACAGATCAGACGACAATGTTGTGAGAGTAACTTAAAGCTAGTCGGGTGTGCCAGTTGTGTGTTGTTATTATACCTCACTGTGGCCATTTCCCCTTGAGTGAGTGAGTGAGTATGGTTTTACGCCACTTTTAGCAATATTCCAGCAATATCACGGCGGGGGACACCAGAATGGGCTTCATACATTGTACCCATGTCGGGAATCGAACCCGGGTCCTCGGAGTGATGAGCGAACGTTTTAAACACTAGGCTACCCAACCGCCCCCCTTTTCCCCTTGAGATTAATATACACCTTTAAGACTTGGCATCAAGGGTAGCTGTAAAATTGCTGATGTGACATAAGTAATTTTTACTCTCAGCAATGCTAGAAATATAGATGAAATTCAAAGGCTCTTTGTTGCTATCAATATAATCCGCGAATTAAAAATTAAAGATTTAGTGAGTCCTTAGATTCAAATTCAAACTCTCTTATGGGAATACTCTAGGGGATACACACTTTGTCATGTTTGCACTATATTTTTTATATTTGAATCAGGAATTATTTTTGTATTGACCTATAAAAAAAGACTAGGGCATTGAACTCATTGGCCTTGTATGTTTGGTTGTATCACTTTTACATCTTGGGATATTTTTCAGTTTCTATTGTTTACATGAAGCTGTTTCTTCTAGGAAAGATAAGGAGTGATTGATGTGTTCAGGCTCCAGAAACTACGGTTACTTATCAGCTTTGCTTTTATTACAATCTCTTAGATTTAGGTGTTCCATTGATGCAAGATAAGCTGTTCTGGTGTTCTTCTATTTAGCTAAGCCCCTAGTCATTGGTTCAGCTGAATACTGATTGAAATAAATCAGTATTAGGTATTGATTATTAGGTTGATTATTGAATAAGTCAGTTGAAACGACAGATTGTAAAAGTTGTGTGGAAACTAGCATGTTTAAGTTGGGAATTCAAATTAACATAAATACATTGAATAACATTTAGGGTGGTGAGATACCTCAGATATAGTATAAAGTTGATTATGAACAGACAAGAATGATGATTGTATTATTTAAATCAAAATTACCATTCATAGTAACTTTTAAAAAATAGTGCAATATTTTTAGGACAGTTGAAAGAAAGGGCTAGATTCTCATTTTATTTAATAATTTTGATTATTTTTTTTCTTTGAAACAAACCTGTTATATTGTGAATGTGTCCTGATTACAGACAAGCGCGGTATTGATGGCCGCCTCGCCAGCGCCCAGACAGCTCTCATGCTGCAGGAGGAGACCATCCGACGCAATGAGCGGGAGAGGAAGACGATGGCCGACAAGGTCAGCGCTCTCGAGAGGAACGTTGCAGCCACGGAGTCTGAGAAGAGACAGCTGCAGGTTAGTGTAATCATCTGACTTCACCCAATACAGTGTCCAGCTAATAAATTCAAATAAACATCACAGATTTGAAATAGGATTTTGAAGATGTTTCAATTCACTATTGTTTAATTTGTTGACATTAACTGAAATATATAGCTGGTTAAGTCAACATTAAGCCCACTGGTAACATTATGATATGAGAAGATGAGATTGAAGGTTGAGTTTTGATCAAGCATCTATTTTACCTTTCAGGAGAAGATTGCCAAACTGAAACAGTCTGAGTCGAAGTTGGAGGAGGATAAGAAGACGATGAGGTCCTGCTTGGACGATGCTGAGAACAGATGTACGAAGCTGGAGCTGACCCGTCGCTCCATGGAGGGAGAGATGCAGAGGCTGAAACTGGCCATGAATGACAAGGAGACCGAGAACCAGGTAAATACAGCCACTGATTGGTCAATAAGTTATTTTCATTTCGTTAATTATTCAAAATTCATACTTGGCTGCAAGTGTGCAAAAAATTTGATGAGCTGAAGAGGCTTATTGTTTTATTTTTTAATATTATATAGAAATATTTATATCGTAGTGAAGTTATTAACTCTTGATATTTTTTGCCTCCGGGTGTATGTTTCCATTATACCACTTGTCTGAATTATGTGAATTGCTCAAGCTGTGATCTTTGAAATCAATTGCATCCACTTGCTGCTAACATGGCCCAGTTAATCAAAAGCATTGTTGAGGTTTTATTAATATTACATGAGAATTGCCCTGGCCGCTAATTAACTGCTGCAGTCTGATGTGGCACGACTCAGATTCTAGCAGATGTTGTAAGAGACCAGACCACACTGTCTGTGTGTACATGATGGCCTGAAGCTTTCTTTCTATCTGCGAGGGTTAGACATTGTGATTCGGGTATGGATCATCGTTCAGAGAGGCGTAGTAAATCTCCCAAGTCCATGGACTTGCTTCTAAAGCATGTCAAGTCCAACTGTTTCAAGCTGGTAGCTGTAGGAATTCAGAACAAGCCATTGAAGGTGTGTGTGGCTTTTGGGAGACTTGTGAAGGCAGCCAAGCCAGGTTCAGATGGAGCTGTGTCGCTTTCATTGGATTTCATTCTGCAGTGTTATTTGAACAAGGTTCTTGAGATTAGTGGTTGTGATAGTTTGAAAAAGCAGAGGAAATGAAAAAGCATTTGTTTTCCAAGTTGGTGTAAAATATTAATACCACCAGGTATTAATTTAATCTCTTGATATGACTGTCCTGGTTTTTAACAACCCTTGACCTTTATTTGCTTTGCAATGCCCCATTCCACAAAGCTAGGATTATATAGGTGGATGTTAAAGTATTTGAGTTACACCATGGCACTAAGATTGCTTTGTAAAACTGGGTCCAGTACTGTGGTCGCAAATCTGTATCTCTGCCATCACAATGGCCAGTAGTTCTTCCTTGACCATGTCACATGTTCAACCTGGTGTGGTATCTGTAGCATATGTAACCTTAGTTCCACCTGCCTGTGTGTGTTTCCAAGCTTTTACAAGGTTCTTCTCCATCTTCCAGGTTCTTCAAGACCGTGTTGAGAGTCTCAACAAACAGATCCAGGACCTCGAGACCAAAGCCCAGTCCCTTCAGCTGACCGTGGACCGCATGAACCTGTCCTTGGCCAAGACGGAAGAGGAAGGTCACCACCACAAGGACAAGGTCCAGTCGCTCAACATGTCTCTGTCGGACAGCAACGCCGCCATCAGCGAGCTGGAGGACCGCGTGTCGCAGCTCCAGCGTACTCTCACCAGCAGCGAGCAGGACAGGCGGGTGCTGCAGGAGAGATTGGACGCCACCAGGCAGAGTCTCAACGACGCCAAGAAGCAGAACCATGTCCTGATGGAGAGGATGCAGCAGCTGCAGGCCGAGCTCGAGGACAACGAGGTCCGCCGGGCCGAGGTCGAGGGACAACTCCGACAGAGCCATGGTGTAAGTGTTTTGCCGATTTTTCCTAAGGGTCAAACAGCACTAATATCAACACTCAGGGTAACAGCTGTGACTTCCACAAGTATCAGGTTTTGATGTATAATAATCTTACAGTCAAGATTCAGTGTTAATTCCATAAGTATTGCTTCCAAAGTTCAAGAGACAGACGATTGTAGGTGTGAAAAGTGGTTGATCTGTTTGATCGTGCAAAGATGCCAGTAACTGGAGCTAAATCAGATTACCCAGAACTCCACTTCCTGTTTCCAGGTGATCGTACAGCGGCAGGAGAGTGAGCAGGAACTGAATCAGCGAGTCAACAAACTGGCGATCGAGAAACAGGGCCTGTCCGAGCGGGTCGCATCTCTGTCCAGAACTGTAGGCAACATGGAGTCTGAGAAGCGAGAAGTGGAGAGATCAGCGGTCAGGCTGGAGAAGGACAAGTCTGCCCTGAAGAAGACCCTTGATAAGGTGAAGCCAAGTGACGATACAGTCAATGAAACAAAAAATATCTCGGTCAATGTACCAAGTTTCAGGCAAATTAGTTTCAAGAAATGTTGTCTGTCCGTGGGAGATATTCCTCACGCTTTTTAAACAAAAGTGGATACACACAAAAAGATGTTCAAAATATGCATATATTCAATTAAACAACTTTCTTATGTAAAAATATATCCCTGTGCAGGTTGAGAGAGAGAAGCTTCGCAGTGAAGAAATCTGCTCCAAAACTGTTCACGAACGCAGCAGCCTAGATCGAGGCCTCCAGCAACTTGAAGCGGACAACGTCGAGATGCAGCGGCAGGTGCAACAGATGCAGGCTCAGTTGGCCGAGGCAGAACAACAACATGCACAGAGGTAGGGGAGATAACTGTTTTGACTACAACTTGGGCTCAAGGGCTCCTTCAGGCAAGGCTTCACACTTGGCCAGTTGCTGAAACGAAAATCACAGAAAATAACAATAAATAACAAAAAAAACATCTTGCTCTGTGTTTATGTTCTGAAAATACAAAACTCTTGAAAAGCAGGAGTATCTATGGAGGTTAGAATGACCTGGGATTTATCTAGACCAGCTAGAGTCTTAAATTTGGCCCCAAGTCTGCAGCAATTGTCAATCAAAATTCTCAAATTGGATTTACAAATGTTCTAATTCATGTTATATAGGAGTAACTAATGTTATGGCTGACTACAAGAAGAGAGGATGATTCAACAATGTGCCAGCTTTTTTAGACATTGTCTTGTAAACCTGGGGCTGTATGTTGAGAACACAATGAACTCGGTGCTTGAAATACTCACCCCATAATGCAACAGTCTTTGAATGCTTCTTTCCATCATTTAATGTATTGCCAAAGCATCTAATGCAAAGAAAACGTATAAGTGTGCCACATTGATCCTGCTATGCAAGTCTTAAATAATAAGTTGAAAAAAAGTGGCGATATTTCAGCTAATCTCATCTTCTTCTGTCTTATTAACCTAGCCAGTGCGAACTTAACAGAGACCATTTAGCAAGGTATCTCATCAGCATTGCATGGACGGAATGCAGGTCACTGAACACACTTGTGATCTAGCTTGATCGATAGTGTCACTTTTTCACAGTCTTTTCATAAAAATAATGATAAAGATAGGGAATGACTGCACTCTATCGCACAGCATGGCCAGGAGTGTGGATGTGATGTGTGAGAATACAGATAAACGAGGCATGCCTACAGCATGTCAGCATGGCTTTAGTTTGTCCTATGCTAGTGGTGTGAACACGAGATATGTATTAACCAACCTAGGCATGATGAACGAGGAAATGTTATTTCACACTTTGTGTCAAGCATGATTTCACAGGATATCTTATATAATATTTTTTATATTGTGGAAAATTTTCATGCACATTGTAAATATTGTTATCCATTGTTAATCTGAAATTATATTTTTTGTCAGTATTCTTGATTTTTTTTATGATAATGAACTAAAACAGATACTGCTTAGAGATGAGAAGGCAAAAATCACCATGTGACTGATCAATCACATCTATATTTGTTGAAGACTATCCATCTATATTTCCTGCCTAGCTATGACATAACATGTCTTAACCATGTGACAGACCTATACTGTAAGACCATCCATCTATATTTCCTGCCTAGCTATGAGATAACATGTCTTGACCATGTGATTGTCTGCTTCAGGCTGATTGACTTAACCACGAGACACCGTGCAGAGACTGAGATGGAGACAGAGCGTCTCCGCAGCGCACATCTCCAGGCCGAGCGCCTCCTGGAAGCCAGGGAGAGGTCACACAGGCAGAAGTACAAGGGACTTGAGGAAACAGTGAGTTAAACTTCAAATTTCCTTTTCAAGGGCGGTTCCAGGATTTATAAAGGGAGCAGTCCAAAATATCAAAATTGTCTCTCAGAGAATACCTACAACATACAACATTTGGTTTTGGTTTTCAAGGTGGGAATGTCCAGGCCACTGGACCATCTTTATATGCTGCCCATCCCCTGGACCCTCCGTCTCAATCTGCCTATGTTTTGATAAATGCTATAAAACCTATGAGTATCTGTAAATTAGGATACTGTGCTAGATCAGTGAGTGTCTTTGAATTCTGTAAACAAAGATGTAGTCTCGGGATGAACTCCAAATTGTATCTTCATTATTAACATAGAGAGATGACAATGTTCAGCCAATGTATAAAAGCCATCTTTCTCCTCCAGGTGGCGACACTGAAAGACCAACTGGCCCAGGAGATCAAAAAGCGTCAACAGTACATTGCTCGTAGCGTCCGAACCGGCGACGAGATCCGCGACATCCGTACCATCCTTGACAACTCCCTGTGCAACGTCACCCGTGACTCCGGCCTCGACCCTATCCTCCTGGAACACGAGTCTCGCAAGCTGGACGAATCCCTGGAGATCCACAGCTCGTTCCCAGTGCGTCTTCCCCGTCATCGCTCCCCGGTCCGAGGTTCCTCCCCCATCAGGCTGAGTGGCATGCAAGCATTCCGCAGAAGTGGACGTAGTCCAGTCACACTTCGACAGAAGATGAAGCAGTAGAGCCTGATTGGAACAAATGAAGTTTGACTGTGATATTTTAGCAATGCTGTCTCATATTCACAGCTGGTCAGATAAACAACATCAAAAGATTAACCCCACAGTGTGTATTGTTTAAATACATCAAATTAATTTTAGGACAATGTACATGATTTCGACCAGTCTGAATTCCTTCAGGAAGCAAAGCTGCTTTTCTAACAACTTTCCTGTCTATGCAATGTGTGAAACGTATCATAAGGTCAACAGCCGACACCATTGCTGGTATTGTCATCATGTGAGAGAGTATATCGTTTCCGTCCATAATCGAAATCTAGTTTTATACACAGAATGACGAGTGACGTGCTGTGAAAAAACTTGTTTCTCGTCTTCATTTCATTTTTTTACAACTGTTTTCTTGTTTATTTTATCTCACATAACTTGTTGCCGAATATTTTAACTTTGTTTGCAATCTTTTCTCAATATTTGACTTTTTGTCTGTTTTTCTCTGTATCTGGATCAAGCCAACAAGGGAGCTAACTCCTGTTTGACAGCATTGTCTGCTATTATTTTGTTGTAGTCGTGTAACAGTATTACATTGTTTTACACTGGTATTTTCTGCTGTATAATTCTCCTAATACAGGCTGTGATATATTTATTTAATGAACATATTTGATAATTTATGTATTGTTTTCAGTTATATTAGATATATATTTAATCCTGCACAGAGTTTGAACTTCGCACTAGTTTTGCACAATGATTTAGTAGAAGTTTGTCAATGATAATGTATGTGTAAATTTAGCATGAATAATTCTACCCCCTACGAATAGTCCTTATATGAAATCACTGAAATGGTTGCTTGTCAATAGTATGTAGACTGTGTTATGTAGTTGTTTGTTACCGTGACAACCCAGAGTCTAATGTATGTTACAGATCAGTTGTTCTGTGTCAGATACATTGTTGAGGTTTGACGTTTGAACATGTACTTGGATATAGACTGACTCGGTCTGGTATAGATCTAGTTCTAACTGTTTGAGGACCAAATCATTTTTTCATTGGATCACATTTTCATATATGAATAAAGTGTGTTTTAACTAAAAATATTTCTTGTTTTACATCTACACAGACCCCTGAAGATTATGGGGTAGAATAGGTCTTCAGCAACCCATGCTTGCCGTAAAAGGCGACTATGCTTGTCGTAAGAGGCAACTAACGGGATCGGGTGGCCAGGCTCGCTGACTTGGTTGATGCATGTCATCGATCCCAATTGCTCATGATGTCAATCACTGGATTGTCTGGTCCAGACTTGATTATTTACAGACTGCCGTCATATAGCTGGAATATTGCTGAGTGCGGTGTTAAACAACAAACCAACCAACTTCTACACAATATTTAATCCTCCTTCAAATGGAACGACAAGACAATTCGTCTGGAAGATCTTTTAGCCTCAAACAGGACTACATTTAACAAGCTTTCCTGCTTGGTGACAGCATTTGAGGTCTATTCAGAGTTGCTTCCCTTTAGCTGCAAGGATATGCTGATCAATTTTTCCCTGATTATGATCCTTGATGTGTCAACAGAAGTTTGTGGGTTCCACTCAGTGTATCTTTTGGGCTTTCCTCCCATTTTAAGTTGGCATAACTTAAATACTTTTCAAATATGAGTTTTTCATATACTGTAAATCTTGAAATTAACGCGAGCGTGAATTAAATGCGAAAAATTAGTGTGGTCTTTGCTCGCATTTTTAAACATCACATTTATATCAACAATAAGACATTTTGGATAGCAAAAATACCAACTTAGACATACGCTGATGTATTCCACACCACTATTGAGCAGCACTTGTATATAAAATATATAAACAGTGTCATTCAAACACTAATTACGTCCTGTGAATTGTCACTGCTGGGGTCAACAAAATAAGAAGATAACAAAAGGTGGAAAAAAACAAAGGGTAGAAACTAAAAAGGGAAGCCAACAGATGATTGGCGCTGATAGGTGATTAGCAACAAACATGCAGTATCGCAATTCACTATATCTCCATTTGAACATGACAACATTTTAATATACCATATCATAATTCATTATATCTCCATTAAACTTTACGACATGATATTTAATCATACCATATCATGATTCACTATATCTCCATTAAACTTTACGACATGATATTTAATCATACCATATCATGATTCACTATATCTCCATTAAACTTTACGACATGATATTTAAACATACCATATCATGATTCACTATATCTCCATTAAACTTTACGACATGATATTTAAACATACCATATCATGATTCACTATATCTCCATTAAACTTTACGACATGATATTTAAACATACAATATCATGATTCACTATATCTCCATTAAACTTTACGACATGATATTTAAACATACAATATCATGATTCACTATATCTCCATTAAACTTTACGACATGATATTTAAACATACCATAACATGATTCACTATATCTCCATTAAACTTTACGACATGATATTTAATCATACCATATCATGATTCACTATATCTCCATTAAACTTTACGACATGATATTTAAACATACCATATCATGATTCACTATATCTCCATTAAACTTTACGACATGATATTTAATCATACCATATCATGATTCACTATATCTCCATTAAACTTTACGACATGATATTTAAACATACCATATCATGATTCACTATATCTCCATTAAACTTTACGACATGATATTTAAACATACAATATCATGATTCACTATATCTCCATTAAACTTTACGACATGATATTTAATCATACCATATCATGATTCACTATATCTCCATTAAACTTTACGACATGATATTTAAACATACCATATCATGATTCACTATATCTCCATTAAACTTTACGACATGATATTTAAACATACAATATCATGATTCACTATATCTCCATTAAACTTTACAACATGATATTTAAACATACCATATCATGATTCACTATATCTCCATTAAACTTTACGACATGATATTTAAACATACCATATCATGATTCACTATATCTCCAGTAAACTTTACGACATGATATTTAAACATACAATATCATGATTCACTATATCTCCATTAAACTTTATGACATGATATTTAAACATACCATATCATGATTCACTATATCTCCATTAAACTTTACGACATGATATTTAAACATACCATATCATGATTCACTATATCTCCATTAAACTTTACGACATGATATTTAAACATACAATATCATGATTCACTATATCTCCATTAAACTTTACGACATGATATTTAAACATACCATATCATGATTCACTATATCTCCAGTAAACTTTACGACATGATATTTAAACATACAATATCATGATTCACTATATCTCCAGTAAACTTTACGACATGATATTTAAACATACAATATCATGATTCACTATATCTCCATTAAACTTTACGACATGATATTTAAACATACCATATCATGATTCACTATATCTCCATTAAACTTTACGACATGATATTTAAACATACCATATCATGATTCACTATATCTCCATTAAACTTTACGACATGATATTTAAACATACCATATCATGATTCACTATATCTCCATTAAACTTTACGACATGATATTTAAACATACCATATCATGATTCACTATATCTCCAGTAAACTTTACGACATGATATTTAAACATACCATATCATGATTCACTATATCTCCAGTAAACTTTACGACATGATATTTAAACATACCATATCATGATTCACTATATCTCCATTAAACTTTACGACATGATATTTAAACATACCATATCATGATTCACTATATCTCCATTAAACTTTACGACATGATATTTAAACATACCATAACATGATTCACTATATCTCCATTACACTTTACGACATGATATTTAATCATACCATATCATGATTCACTATATCTCCATTAAACTTTACGACATGATATTTAAACATACCATAACATGATTCACTATATCTCCATTACACTTTACGACATGATATTTAAACATACCATATCATGATTCACTATATCTCCATTAAACTTTACGACATGATATTTAAACATACCATAACATGATTCACTATATCTCCATTACACTTTACGACATGATATTTAATCATACCATATCATGATTCACTATATCTCCATTAAACTTTACGACATGATATTTAAACATACCATAACATGATTCACTATATCTCCATTACACTTTACGACATGATATTTAAACATACCATATCATGATTCACTATATCTCCATTAAACTTTACGACATGATATTTAAACATACCATATCATGATTCACTATATCTCCATTAAACTTTACGACATGATATTTAAACATACCATATCATGATTCACTATATCTCCATTAAACTTTACGACATGATATTTAAACATACCATATCATGATTCACTACATCTCCATTAAACTTTACGACATGATATTTAATCATACCATATCATGATTCACTACATCTCCATTAAACTTTACGACATGATATTTAAACATACCATATCATGATTCACTATATCTCCATTAAACTTTACGACATGATATTTAATCATACCATATCATGATTCACTATATCTCCATTAAACTTTACGACATGATATTTAAACATACCATATCATGATTCACTATATCTCCAGTAAACTTTACGACATGATATTTAAACATACAATATCATGATTCACTATATCTCCAGTAAACTTTACGACATGATATTTAAACATACAATATCATGATTCACTATATCTCCATTAAACTTTACGACATGATATTTAAACATACCATATCATGATTCACTATATCTCCATTAAACTTTACGACATGATATTTAAACATACCATATCATGATTCACTATATCTCCATTAAACTTTACGACATGATATTTAAACATACCATATCATGATTCACTATATCTCCAGTAAACTTTACGACATGATATTTAAACATACCATATCATGATTCACTATATCTCCAGTAAACTTTACGACATGATATTTAAACATACCATATCATGATTCACTATATCTCCAGTAAACTTTACGACATGATATTTAAACATACCATATCATGATTCACTATATCTCCATTAAACTTTACGACATGATATTTAAACATACCATATCATGATTCACTATATCTCCATTAAACTTTACGACATGATATTTAAACATACCATAACATGATTCACTATATCTCCATTACACTTTACGACATGATATTTAATCATACCATATCATGATTCACTATATCTCCATTAAACTTTACGACATGATATTTAAACATACCATAACATGATTCACTATATCTCCATTACACTTTACGACATGATATTTAAACATACAATATCATGATTCACTATATCTCCATTAAACTTTACGACATGATATTTAAACATACCATATCATGATTCACTACATCTCCATTAAACTTTACGACATGATATTTAATCATACCATATCATGATTCACTACATCTCCATTAAACTTTACGACATGATATTTAAACATACCATATCATGATTCACTATATCTCCATTAAACTTTACGACATGATATTTAATCATACCATATCATGATTCACTACATCTCCATTAAACTTTACGACATGATATTTAAACATACAATATCATGATTCACTACATCTCCAGTAAACTTTACGACATGATATTTAAACATACCATATCATGATTCACTATATCTCCATTAAACGTTACGACATGATATTTAATCATACCATAACATGATTCACTATATCTCCAGTAAACTTTACGACATGATATTTAAACATACCATATCATGATTCACTATATCTCCAGTAAACTTTACGACATGATATTTAAACATACCATATCATGATTCACTATATCTCCATTAAACTTTACGACATGATATTTAAACATACCATATCATGATTCACTATATCTCCATTAAACTTTACGACATGATATTTAAACATACCATATCATGATTCACTACATCTCCATTAAACTTTACGACATGATATTTAAACATACCATATCATGATTCACTACATCTCCATTAAACTTTACGACATGATATTTAAACATA